AGTGCTCCACCGCCTCCCTGTTGAATGGCTCCGACAAAACGAAGCCCAGCCTGCCGGAGCCTCCCTGCCCAGTTGACCAAGTAGTTTTCACACCAAGCGATCGCATGGCCTGGAGGTAGTAGTTCCGACGCTTCTTCAAAGGCGGCTTCTCCCTGGCAGGCTCGGCGACGGCCTTGGTCTTCTTGGCAGGCTCCTCACGGACATTGACTTCGACCGCCTTCGGGAGGCAGAAAGAATCATCTTGGGACTTCCATGAAGAGACCAACACCTCCAGCCGAGAGATCCTCTCACTCCGCGGCAATTGCACGAGCTGCTGAGCGATCGCAGCCAGTTGCAACTCCTCAGAGGGCACTTGCCTACATGGAGGGTCCGGGCTCTGTCCAACTTTCACGGCATCAACAGCTTCCATGGGCCTTGGCTCCTTGACTGCGGCCGGCTCCTCAACTGCTGCGGCCGGCTCCTCAACTGCTGTGGCCTCTGCGGCCGGCTCCTCAACAACTGCGGCCTCTGCGGCCGGCTCCTCAACAACTGCGGCCTCTGCGGCCGGCTCCTCAACTGCTGTGGCCTCTGCGGCCGGCTCCTCAACAACTGCGGCCTCTGCGGCCGGCTCCTCAACAACTGCGGCCTCTGCGGCCGGCTCCTCAACTGCTGTGGCCTCTGCGGCCGGCTCCTCAGCAACTGCGGCCTCTGCGGCCGGCTCCTCAGCAACTGCGGCCTCTGCGGCCGGCTCCTCAACTCCTGTGGCCTCTGAGTGGCCCCCACCTCTCTTGGCCACCAAAGTATGGTCAAAAAACACCATCTTGCAAGATTGGGGCCCTCTGGCAACAAGAGCGCCTTGGGACAGGTGGTAGGGTACGCCGTCTACTTTGGCCTTCGACCCCCTTGACTCCCTGGCCTCCCTAGGTCCTCAAGTCTCCTGGGTCCCCTGGGTCTTCTGGCCTAAGTCTGGGTCGCCTGGGTCCCCTAAGTTTCCTGGGTCCCCTGGGTCCCCTAAGTCCCCTGGGGTCTCTGGCGTCAGTCCCCTAAGTCCCCTGAGTCCCCTGGGTCCCCTGGCACGTGTGCTTGGAAAACCATAGGAGGGGTAGTGCTCAGGAGCACCAACGACGATCGCATCACCGGCATCAGATTGACAGGAATCCCACATCACGGCATCACCCAAACCGGCGAAAAGGGCGAAAATCGAAAATCCGAAAACGACAGAAAGCAAGGGAGGGGTGGTGCCTGGGAGCACCGCTGGGGCTCGGAAAAAAAACAGCCTCCGGGAACCCTGGAAACGAAAAAGCTCAGAAAATTTGGGTGCGGCATTACGCCCTAGGGGGTTTTCCCCGGGGGGTCGGGAGTTATAGCCACCCGTGGGCTATCCAAAAAAAAACATCACCAGCGCGCCAGCACCAACCCCTACCACCAACCCCAAGGGCAACCCAACACTTGACAAACACACATGGCTCGCACCGCGTTCTCTCAGGGCCCTGGCCAGTCGATGTAAAGGTCCCCCAGGAATAGTCTTGGACGGGACCAGGTCGACCACCTGCAATCCAGCAAACTTCAAACACCCGTTCAACCTCAAGAGAAACGGTGTCCCTCGCAAATGCAAGCCGGGGCCACTTCCAAACAAAAAGAAACGCAGTCCACTCAAGGCCCAGGCAGCTGATTTTGAGGTCGAGCAGAGCCTAGCACGGGTGGCGGCAAAACAAGGAAAAACATTCTCAACTCCACATGGCCTCACCAAGTCGGATTGGGCCAAACCTGAATCGCTGCTCGAAGGCGAGTCCAGCCGTGGCACAAACTGTGGATCCACCTGCGAGTGACCAAAAAAGTGGCAAAAGACAGCTCCAGAGGGCCGCACCACAAGAAGACCTGCGGGTCGAGCAAAGCCTGGCATGGGAGGTGGGAAAGCAAGGAAAAAACATTGTAAACCCAGCATGGCCTCACCAAGGCGGAATGACGAGCTGCACCAAACCTGGATCAGTGTTTGAAGGGCGAGCTCAAACCCATCCACCTATCAACATTGACAGCACGGACAATAAAGGCCCGGGCAAAACGCGACTTGCACCCACGCCCCCCGCCCCGGATCAAGAAGAAATGCCCGAAAAGGCTGCAGCAAGCCGAATCTCGCCTTCACAAGGCTCAAGTCCAACCACGACCGACAACGTGAAAACCGTGAGAAAAAGGCAACACCGGTAACCCGTCATGCAAAATGGACAAAAATACGTCTTTTCCGGAAATGGCCCTCGAGCCGCTTGAGCTGGGGCCGATACCTTGGTCGGACCACCTTTTTTTGCCACCCTACAAGGGAGCCAAGTCGGCGCCCTTGAGGTCCGAGGGGAAGCCTATCGTCTGGCAGTCCGAGTGGACCAGTGTCCTCTGGGAGCCCAGCAGTTTCGGCGAGGACCAGGGCCTCGGCAGAACGTCTGCTTTGCGATGGAGAGGGATTCCGAGGCCTGGGCGGCCTGGGATGACTTTGAGAAGAGATGCGTTGGCGAACTATCGGCGCGATGGGACGACAAGAACGTGAAGGACAGGTGGCAAAGCTGCCTCAAGGAGTTGCGTCAGGGAACGACCTTCCTGAAGTCCAGCTGGACTTGCGCAATGTGCGCTTTTGGGACGCTGACGGAAACAGGATCCGGAGGCCCGAGACTTTGGCCGGTTGCGAGTGCCAGGCCCGCGTCGAGGCCCGGCAGGTCTGGATCATGGGCAAGCAGTGCGGGTTGGTCCTCAAGGTCCGCGACCTGCAGGTGAAGGCCGGCGCAGGCGGGGACTCTTGCCCCTTCTAAAACCACGTTCTTTTGACCGTGGATCCCCGACGCAAAAGAACGCGCCCGCAGAGACCTGTTTGGGGGCCTTGAGAAAACCCGCGAAGAGGGCTGGGGAACCCACAGAACTGGAACACTCAGGGCCGGGGCGGCCACCTTGGTCGGACCATTTTTTTCCGCCGGCCTAAGAAAAGCAATCGACAACAATGGCATCCTGGGCGAGGCAGCGGGAGCATATCAGGAAGGCGGTCGAGGCCGGATCGAGGGCCCGGGACACGGATGACGGAAGCCGTGTCTTGGGCTTGAGGCGGGGCCGAGGCGCCTCCAGCGCGCGGACGGGAGCGTTACCAGGGCCGGGGAGGCCTACTTCGGCATGCTCGGGCGGCAGCCAGAGTCGAGGACCTTCGACCCAAGGCAGCCGCTGGTCAGGGAGGGCGCGGCCGAATACGTGCTACTGCAGAACGGGCAGCGGGGCCTAGTGCGGCGGCTGCGGGAGGACGGCACCTACCAGCTGACGAACCTAGGGAGGCGGTTCTTCAAGAACAAGTACTCGCAGCACGTAGCACACATCCCAGTGGTCAGGGCGCACCAGTGCGAGCTCATCATGATCAACGACGAGGCGCTGGTCCAGACGAAGAGCCTCTCGACGCAGCTGCCCCTCACCACAAACCAGAGGAACCCCGGCTGCCTGGTGATCGCCGGCAACACGGGCAACGTGGTCTGCAACACGAGCTTCACCAACTTGTCGGACAGCCGGGTGAAGACGGAGATGGCCGAGGCCGACCTGGGGGAGCTCCTGCAGCTCTTCGACTCCGTGGAGGCCAAGCAGTACAAGCGCCCCGACATGAACGGGGACCTGAGGCTGGGCTTCGCCTCGGACGACTTCGCAGGAACGAAGTGGAAGAACCTGACAGGGACCGCCCGGTGGAGTGACGGCACAGAGATGGTGACCCTCGACTACTCGCACCTCACCAGCGTGCTCTGGGGGGTGCGCAAGGGCTTCCAGGCCCGGCTGGACAAGCTGGAAGAACAAGTAAAAAAATGGACGTCCTGGCCGACTTCAATGTGCGGGACCCCCGCAAGCTGTACCGCCTTGCGCGGCAGCGGAACATGGACGTCACGCAGCCTGAAGCCCGACGTGGGCCGGCAGGTGCAGGCCCCGCGGCCCAGGGCCCTCGGCAAGTCCGCCGCGGCGGAGGGGCCCAACGACCGGCTGCAGGCCGACCTGATCGACTCCAGCCAGAACACCAAGGGGAAGACCAAGTACGGCCTCGTGGTCATGGACGTCTTCACCAGAGAAGCGGCCGTGGAGTCGCTGCAGAGAAGAGCGCCGCAAGCGGGCCACCCGGGAGCTGGTGGGCGAGGAGCGCAACTTCGTGGTCACCACGGACCTGGGCAACGAGCTCGCCTCCCTGGACCGGGAGCTGCCCGAGGAGGCCGTGCGGCCCGAGGACCGCAACGCCACGGCCGTGATCGACCGGGGCATCCAGACCCTGAAGAAGGACCTGGCCACGCGAGTGGCCCGCAAGACTTCGAGCAGGCCGCCGAGGCCTACAACGCCCGGCCGCGCGAGACGGTCTACGGGGCCCCAGAGGACGTGGAGCGGCAGCCGGCCACCGAGTTCCGGCTGCTGCAAGACAACGCGGACAAGTTCCAGCACAACAAGGATCTGACCGACCGCCGCATCAAGGCCATAGAGGACGCGGGGGCCTTCAGGGCTCCCACCAACGCAGCCCGGAGCTTCAACCCCCAGTACGGGGACGTGCAGCGGCTGCAGGCCGTGGACTCCATGACGGTCCGCAGCACCGAGAGGCGGGAGACCCTGCTGAAGCTGGCCCTGCCGGCGCCCCAGGGCAGCGGCAACGCCGCGGGCAGGCTGACGAGGCGCGGCCGGCCCGCTGCGGCAAGGCAGCTGGAAGACTTCTTGGGGCAGCCCAGGAGGCCGGGCCAGCACAAGGCAAAAAAACATGTCTTAGCATATTGATGGGCTTTGGGGCCAAATCGCATGTAGCCAATTCCACATTTTCATGCGTTTGATTCGTCACTCACCGGCTGCCCTCAAAATGCAAGCATTGAGAAAAGGAAACAAAAGGTCTCAACAGCCCCCTAAATCGTTCCATGGCCTTCCTCGGTTCCCCAATCTGCTCGTTCTGCACCCAGAAACTTTTTTCCTCATGCTCCGCAATTCTTTGAGCCCCGAGATCCAATTCTAGGCCAGGAAATGGCACAGCAGCAACAATTCAGCCTTCAAGGTTTGGCCGCCCTGGTTTGATAGAAGGCTCTACCAGCGTAGAAGCCAAAGTACTCCTGGTACTGCGCTTCAGATACGAAGATCAAGCGCTGTCCGCCGGTTTGTGGCACAGTCTCTGTCCTTGTCAGCAAAAGCACCAGGATGTCAGCTGTGTCGCATGCTTTGTCACGCTCGTTCTCCACTATGAATGGAGAATTGCCCTTCTTGCATTGCAAACATTCAGAGATCGTGTGATTGTTGCCCTCTGCCCTCACCTCTTCCAACATGAGAAAGGCATCAGCAGCTGGAGCTCCGGCAGCATTCACGACCAAAACACGTTTGTCAGTCAACGTCACTGTAAGGTTTTGGTTTGTCATTTCAACTACGCACTGGTGCATTCCCAGTCCCTTAAGTAAATTTGTCCGAGCTTTGGGATTGCCGCAGCATGAGGACCTCAACAACAATTGCTTCCTGGATTTGGCAAATTGCAGATGCCGGTTGATGACCTTGGTGCTTTTCAAGCTGTCAGGCTGGATCACTGCACCCCTGTGTAGATCGGCAATGTCAACTAGTTGTCCATCCTCAAACGCAGAAGCTCGCAACACTCGAAACCTGGCATTGAATTCTTCCCACTGTTGCCAGGTTGGTTCTGACTCAAACAAGCGGTAGTCCATCAAGTTCCACGGTTGCAAATCGTCAGAGAACTTAGACAAACTCAGCATCAAGTACAACCAAATGTAGGGCAAGTCGATGCGGTACTGCGAGGAGTCGCCGTCCTTGAACTTGACGCGGATAAGCTCCACCTTCTCAGGATCTAGATTGCCGACCATTTCGCCAGACAAAATCCATCTGCCTGACAGAGCTGCGCGAAGCAGTTCCTTGAGGTCTGCACCCGGCTCAATCTGAGTGGCGTCAGGATACTTCTGCCTCAATTGTCTCATAACTGCACCCACCAAGGCAGTTGCTGCAGCGTTGGGCATCTCCATCAAGGCCTCTAGAAGGCACTCCAAAGCTCTGCCATGCCCGCCCATGTCTTCGACCAGGAGGTCTTTTAGGCGGTGGCCGGGCAGCACCGGCTGTTTGTTGCGGGTTACGGCGGTCACGCGTGGCAGCTCCAGAAAAACTCGGGCCTGGGGACTGCCAGCAAGTCCACTCTTCACATTTTGCAAAGCGGCCACACAAGCTACGACAAAGGGACCTTCCATTTGGTTGATGAGGCGGCAGACCTCCTGCATCACCTGATAGAATGGCAGGTCCTTGCCCGCAGCATCACTGCGCTCGGTAAATCCAGGCAGACCTTGCATCCCGTCGACTCCGATCACCACCGTGCTATGATTGAGCTCATCACACAGCACAGCTGCAAAGACATCCTCTGCAACAAGGCTATCGGAGCATTCGACGCGGAATTTTGCAAAAGTCTCTGGAGCGCCGACCTCCCGAAAAGCCTCCTTGTTTGCATTCCCCAGCTGCCACAGCATGCGGCATGCCACAAAGCGTCGGGCATTGAGCTCCTCCGTGGCCCAGTCCCCGGGAGAGAGGCCGTTCTCGCAGCTGATCATGAAGCTCCTCGTTTGCTTGCTGAATTTCAGTTTCTGCCTTTCAGACACATTCTGCAAGCACTGCTCGACCAGGCCCGGGAACTCTGTCAGCAACCGGGACTTGCCTTGCCCTGGGCCTGCAAATGCGATGAACAAAGGATGAAGCTGTTTGTCACTGTTCTTCCCCTTTTGCTCGTGCAGCTTCTGGATGGGGATCTGCATGCTTTCACGGAGCACCTCCTTCCCACAATAGTCCCATGTGGCCCCAACTGTTGCAAGCAGTTGGTCGGCTGCTCCAAACTTCAACTTCTTCGCGAGCAACTTCTCGCACCAACTGCTCCGTGCCTGTCTCCAAAATCGGGCGCGGAGGAGTGTAAGGACATCAGCAATTGTTGGATTTATCGAGTCGGGTGGCTCCGCCTCAGCAAAAGAATTTCAAATCAGGCAGATATGAGCAGGTACATCTAAAATTGAACAATAGAAGGGGATGGAATGGCAGCACAACGGGCCAAACCATCGAACAGGAACTCTGCCCGTGGATGCAAAGCCGGGAATGTATGGTTGAACTCACTGCATCAAAGAGAACATTCACAGAATGCACTTGGGCCTTCAGCAGCCAGGACCCCAATGGGTGCAGAGACATAAAGACATCAGAGTTTGCCCTCCCTCTCCCCGACGGCAGAAGGGCAGGTCTTGCTCTTTGAAAAGCAAGCTGAAGGCAATGACAAAATCACTCAAGGATCAACGGCACGTCTCAATCAATGTTGACCGGCAGGAATGACCGACCTCCAACAAGGAATGGCAACCATCCGTTCATGGGGGGCTCCATACCGAGCCTGCCAAGGACACGAACCGCCGCAATCTGCAAAAATGCTATCTTGGGATTCTCTGGATGCGATCAGGGCAGCCCCACCAAAACCATGTGCGGGCCGCGCGGGGAATTTCAGAACCGCACGCAACGATCAGAGTCCCAGAACGCAGCCGGCCGGCGGAAGCGACCGACTCCGCCCGCCTCGGACTCCTTCGTCCGGCCGCTTGCCTTCGCCTCCTTGACCTCCGCCTCCTGCACCTCCTTCTTCGCTTCCTGGACCTTCCTCTCCGCCTCCTGGACCTTCCTCTCCGCCTCCTGAACCTCCTTCTTCGCCTCCTGAACCTCCTTCTTCGCCTCCTGAACCTCCTTCTTCGCCTCCTGGACCTCCTCCTTGGCCTCCTGCACCTTTGTCGCATTGCCCGAGTCCTCCGCCGTCTCCAAGACGGTGGCAGCTCGAGCGAGACGCCTCACCGCCATCGCTTCCTGCTCCTGGGCGCTCTCAACCTGCCGCTGGGCGCTCTCAACCTGCCGCTGGGCGCTCTCAACCTGCCGCTGGGCGCTCTCAACCTGCCGCTGGCCCGTCTTCCGCTGCTGTCGCGCCAGGAGCAGGTCCTGCCCAGGCCGACTCCCACGCCGAGCGCTCGAACGCGCTCGAACGGACGGCCTCCTCCAATGCCGTTTTGGCTGCTTTGGCCTGAAAAGCACCCACAACAAACGTGCATTTTGAAAATGTCACGAAAGCGCTTCTGAATCTGACCTGTTGGTAAAGGAAGCAAACACTGCTGCCTCTGCCACAAACTTCCGCAGCTGCTTCTCCAATTCGGGCTTATTACACCCAAACCTTCCACTTCCCTGCTGGATCTACCAGCTGCACTCTTCCTGAGCTCAACCGCGCCTGCAAATCCACAACGAACGTATTGACGTGCTGCTAAAGCGGCGCATGACCACTTGCATGTCTTTCAGCGTGCCGTTGTCCACAACCCGTTTGGCTTCTGCGACCACCTGAGCGAGACAAGGCTGGGACGTCGCTTTCTCTGAAGGCCCGCCGCCTCCTCGAGATCGAGCCGGTCCTGACAACCAACAAGCCCAACGTTCAAGCCCGATGCACGTGTCCCCCAGGCCTGGCCACTGTTGTCCTGGCGGCAACCGGCAAAAGATGCGAACAGGCTTCGGGTCGGAGGAGTCCTCTTGCGCAGCCCCGGCGCGCCGAGCGACTCCGGCATGCAACGGGTGCCGTTTTGCCTGAAAGAGCCAAAGTGCAATCTGCTTGCGCCTGCGGGCAACTCTGAGAACTGGGCCAACATGCTGTCCTGGCACTCAGCACGAAACAAGAACATCCAAAGGAGGGACTTCATGCTCCTTCAGCCCAGGAACTCCTCGAGCAAAGTCCTGGGCGGCGGCGACAAGGGACTCCTGAAACCCGAAAACCTTCGAAAAACCTGTGTCCCAAGACCCAGGCCGTGCTCGGCTGCACGAGCAGCGCCAATGCAATCCCGAGAAGGCAGAGGCACATACCTGGCCGCTGCCTACCGCGGGCACGGTAGCGTCACAAGCTTGCCAGCCTCGGCTTTTGGTCCTGGTCCGCATCATCGCCATGGCTATTCGAAAAGCGCTTGAGCGGCCTGCGATTCCTCAAGCACTGGCACTAGACCCATCGGGCAACCACTGCGAGCTGTTGTTGTGTCAGTGTTGATGAGTACCCTCGAGCCAAGTTTCCAGAGCAAACACAAGATTGACTGGCTTCTTTGGCAACACCAACGCACGGGTTTGGATGCTCCTCCTCCTTTTCACTCGCGGCCTGAAGGTCGGTCGGGCCAAGCCTTGCAAGGCTTCGCAGCGTCCATCCGTCAGACTGGCTGACCCACATCCTGCCGCTGCATCAAAGTCCAAGCGAGATACCAAACTGGCCTGCCTGCAAAACAAGCAGCCGAAATCGGCACCGGGCCGCCAGGGGCTGAAGGGCGGGGGTTTCTGGGGTCCTGGGATCACTGGGGCCTCTGGGGTCCCTGGGTCCCTAGGGTCCCTACATTCCCGTCCCTAGGGTCCCTAGAGTCCCTGGGGTCCCTGCACACGTGTGCATCAGACGTCTCGCCAAGGCCCCAGAGTGCGCTCATCCCTGTCAACGCACGGCGGGTTCAGGGACCTTGGGGACCTTAGGGACCTTAGGGACCTTAGGGACCTTAAAGACCTTAGGGACCCCAGCAACCCTGCAAACCAGTCCGGAATAGATCCAGGGCCACCACATCAAGATCCTCTACAACCACAAGGTGTCGGTCCCCTTCGCGGATGTGATACCCCTGACAGTGGGCCTCACTCCCCATAAAAAAATATAGTAAAACATATGTTGAGAGAAGTAAAATAAAACCATAACGAACAACAAAATATATATGATAAATATCACAAAACAAAACAGACAACAACAACCAACAAAACAAAACACATTCATCATAATCAGATAAAATCAGAACAGCGTAACAACAAACAAAAAGCAAAACAGCCCCTGAACTTCCTTGAAGCTAAAATCCAAAAATAAAAACCCAAAATTAACCCAAATATTTCGCAACATAAATCTTACAATGTGTTTATTGTAAGGTTTGTGGGTTATTTCATAATTTAAGTTCGGGAAAATATGTTAATTGATGATGGGACAAAATGATATATTCTTTGCTTCTTTCATACATCATTTTAATAATATTAAACTTTTTACTTTCAATAAATAGCTGAATATTTTCTTTTACATCTTCTCCTTCATTTTCATGAAAAACCAGCATCCATAGTATATGGTCTATAATTTCATATTCTTCTTACTAATCCTTAAAAACTGGTGAACATAATCATAAGGTGGGGCTTTATAAACACTAAGAAACACTTTGATGTCATCTTCTACATTTCTTTCATCCATTCTACATTCATCTTCTTTATCATAAGAACAGTCAGTAGTATATGTACTAATACGTTCTGTAAATCTAATTTGTATAATTCCATATGTCTTCTTTTCAATTTGCAACCCTCATTACATTTCTTATTCATATACTTATTGATTTCAATACCGTTCATTTTCTCTCTAATATATTAAGTCAGTATTCCTTTAAGTCATTTTCAAAGACTCAAATATCATTCTAAAGTATAACAAATGAATTTATTATCAACTTCAAATAATATCAACATAAATTATTACCAACTTCAATTATTATCAACTTAGATTAGTATCAACTTAAATTAATCTCAACTGAAATTGTTATCAACTTAAATTATTATTAACTTAAGTATTCAAAACATAAATCTTACAATGGTATGTATTGTAAGGTTTATGGGGTTTCAGATGCACAATCGCCCTATTGAAACCAGTCGATCACCCTATTGAAACCAGTCAATCACCCTATTGAAACCAGTCAATCACCCTATTGAAACCAGTCAATCACCCTATTGAAACCAGTCAGTCACCCTATTGAAACCAGTCAATCACAGCGAACCGTGAACCGCAATCACAGTGAACCGCAATCACAGTGAACCGTGAAATTAAATCACTCGGTATTGAATATAAATCTTCTTGTTTGTGCTTTTCATTATCCTGACCCCAATTTCCTTGGTTCCACTTGGCAGTCTCTATTGATTATAACGCAGATATTGTTGATGTTCAATGGTCTTTTCGCGTGATGGTTTGTCTCCTCTTCGGAGCGTTGAACCCCAGCAACAAGTGTATTTTGTGTTTCTTTCTAACTTTTCCTGGTATGTTTGTTGTTTCTTTCTTGCTCGCTTTTGTTTTTCTTCTTCTTCGTCTTCACAAATGTTCCCTAAAAACCGCTGATGCTGTTTCCTTCGTTCGTGCTCTGGGACTCCGAGGACTTCAGGGACCCAGCGACCCAGGGACTTCAAGAGATCCTTGGTGGCCCCAAGGATTTTGGGGCTTGAAGGGATCTTGGCAAGAACTTCACGCCGGGTACCACTCAGCCTGGGCATTCTCCAGCATCAAAGGGTCATGCAAAAACACAAAATGCCGAAGCCAAGACACACACACACACACACACACATTGCAAATGGGCCACAACACCACAACATCGTCTCCCAACTACAAACACGGATGTAGAAAACACCATGTAGAGACATACCAACATAAAGGCACAAAGACATAAAGATATAAAGATATAAAGAGAAAGGTATAAAGATACAAAGATATAAAGATATGAATTTGTAGAAATACAAAGATATAAATATATGAAAATTCATAAAGAGATACAAATACGTAGAGATATGAAGATAAAAATGTATGAAAATAAATAGATATGAGTACACGAAGATAAATAGATGTATGGCAAGTTGCTCGAATGGAAAAACAACAGAAGCTTTGCCCTTCCGCGCGTCTTTGTGGCAAGCTGCAACCAACCGAAGCTTGAGAGATGACTTCACACTTCACGGGATCTCTTGCCCCCAAGACCCAGGGTTGCTGGGGTCCCTAAGGTCCCTGGGGTCCCTAAGGTCCCTTAGGGTCCCTGAGGTCCCTAGGGTCCGTAAGGTTTCTGGGGTCCCTAAAATCCCTGAAAACGCCGTGTGTTGACAAGGATGGATGCACTTTGGGACCCTGGCGAGACGTCTTGATGGAAGGACGTTGTTTCATGGCACCCGCGTGCCCAGGGACCCAGGGACCCCAGGGACCCTAGGGACCCCAGGGACCCTCACTGGGTCAAAGATCAAGGGGGCTGACAGATTGGTGACAAAGATCAAATGACAGTAACCTGCACGGGACCTCTTGGCCATGACAATGGAACGCGGCGAGGGCCCGGGCGGAACGTGGAGCTCGAGGCGCAAGCTCAAGAGTTCGGAGTGCCTGAGCGCCAGGAAAAAAAAGGCGATTTTGAGGAAACCACACTGCCTGACTTACAAAAAACCTGACAGTACGACTTGACGGGGTTGGGGCAATCGCTCTCAAGGTCAAGGGTTCACCAGGTTGGAGAGACAATACAAAATGCGGGCCTGGCTCAACGAGGTCACGATTTCCAAAGATACACGGGCCTGACGGCGCGGCTTGACGGGGTTGGGAAAAGCACGCAAAAAAGCAACGCAAACCACTTGGGCCTCACCGGGTCAAAGAGATCAAGGTTGGGCCCCTGAAAGCTCAGTTGAAATCCGCGCATCAACACTGACGGCGCAATCAGCAAAAAGGCCCGGGCAGAACGTCTTCGAAGTCGCGCAAATCCTGGCACGGGACGGGGGGGGGGTGTCCGGGCCTCGCTAGGCCAAAGATCAGGGGGCCTGACAGATTGGCGAGTTGGGACCCAAACCTCAAAGATCAGTTGGCATTGATGGCCATGACAACGGAAGCAGCGAAGGCCCGGGCAGTATGCCCCGATGTCAAAACAAAGCCTGGCACGCGAAAACACGACCTTCAAAATCCAGGACCAAACCTGAAACACTGCTCAAAGGCCGAGTTGACACCAATCCGCACAGGTGCCCAGCCAAAGAGTCCCCAGTAGCACGAATTGGATCCACCTGCAAGCGGCCAACAAAAAGTGACAAAAAGGCAACTCGCGGCGCTGCGAGAAGATCTGCACGTCGAAGTCTGGGCACAGGGCACGTGAGGTCAAGAAAAACTGTGAGTCTGAAACCACGCCTTTGCACCTGCGAGCGGTTCCCTGCCGCCCCGTACCCCAGAGTGTCCCCGAATCTCGCCTTCACAAGGCTCACGTGCTTGGGGAAGCTCTTTCCAAACACGACCGACAACGTGAAAATCGTGAGAAAAACGCAACACCGGCAACCTGTCATGCAAAATCACGCTCAAAAACCATGCAAAACTGAATTTACGGAAAAACAAACAAAAACGTGTTTTTTCCGGAAATGGCGGCCCTCGAGCCGCTTGAGCCAGGGCCGTCCCTTTGGTCGGACCATTTTGTTGTCCGCCCTATAGGAAAAGGACCGGCAAGCAAAAGTCCCGAACCATCGCCACTAGCTTCGCCCTGGGCGAGGTGCAGACGAGCCCCAAGGGCGCCATCGTCTGGCAGTCCGCGTGGACTCACGTCCTCTGCAGCCCAGCAGCTTCGGCGAGGACCAAGGACCCAGGCAGAACGCCTGCCTTGCGATGGAAACGGATTCCGAGGTCTGGGCGGCCTGGGAGGAATTCGAGAAGCTGTCTTCGCGGTCGAGCCGCATTTGGGGCGACTACGGCGATGTGAAGGACAGGTGGCAGAGCTGCCTCAAGGAGTCCCGACAGGGAGCGACCTTCCTGAAGTGCAAACTGGACGCGCGGAACGAGGCTGGCGGGCTGCGTGCCAGGCCCGCGTCGAGGCCTGGCAGGTCTGGTATGGGCAAGCAATGCGGCCTGGTGGAGGTCCGCGACCTGCAGGTGAACCCCGGCACGGGCGGGGACTCTTGCCCCTTCTAAAACTGCGTTCTGTTTATCGTGGATGTCAGACGTAAGCGAACGCGCCCGTAACTGACCCCGGCGGCCTCGAGAGAACAGCGAGGCCCCGGGGCACCCAGGGACTTAGACCTACCCAAGGGGATGCCCCAGTTGGATAAAATCCCCTCAACCGACAAATTCACATAATATTTTTTCATCATTTCATAACAGAACCTCAACTCAAGATTTGATACATAAATTT